TCTTTTTCGGACCATTCTCTGTAAACCCTAGAGATGGTTGTGCGTGAAAATCCCAGTAGATCAGCAGTTTCTGAAATACTCAGACCAGCCCTTCTGGCACCAACAACCATGCCACGTTCAAAGGCACTCAAATCACCTTTCTTCCCCATACTGATGCTCGGTTTGAACTGCAGGAGATTGTCTTGACCATGTCTACATGCCTAAATGCACTGAGTTGCCGCCATGTGATTGGCTGATTAGAAATTAAGTGTTAACGAGCAGTTGGACAGGTGTACCTAATAAAGTGGCCGGTGTGTGTATATATATATATATATATATATATATATATAGGGGGAAGTGTTCCCTCAGATACCTGTGCATGAAGTATAAATTTGAAGTTTGTCATTGCCCCAGGAAAAGACAGTTGCCTTTAAGAGGAGTTTCTACATTTTAAAGCACAAGCAATTGCACTTGTGCTTTACTTTGAAGATTCAAGGTTTCACTTCATATGCTGCTGATAGAAGGATCTCCCTGAAAAGTCATGACAATCTCCACCCACTGTCCTTGCCCCAGACAAGATTTCCTATTTAATCGCCGTCATTGTCTTAGACTTTATTAAGATTCTAAGAACTGTTGCTTTCAATGGAACTGCACCTCTTGAAGACTTTCTGTTTAAGCCCCAAGCAAAGGGTGTTTGGGTTACTGGTGGGTTGTGTTGCTGAGAGTTATTATATACACAAAAAAGTGAGTGAAGGTACRATTTTTATAGCGTTTCAACATGTTCTGTGGTGCCAGACAGCAGGGTTTTGACTAAACAACTGATCTCCACCTGGGCCCCAGCTGGATAAATCACCACAGTCTCAGTGTCATATATTCAGTAATTTTCTGTACGATCCATAAATCTCAGTCCTCTGCACACCCTTTGGAATTACTTAATAAAATAGCTACTTACAACCTTAAGAGTTGCATCATTTGTTTTGATTTTATTTTGTCAGGGAAGCGGGAAACATTCTCACACATGATGGATGTCTTACTTGGAGACAAAACTCCTCTCCTGCAGTTTCCTGCTGAAGACCTCGCAGACAACAATTTGAGACAGCTATTGTTAGCTTCTCCTCCACATTTGATAGCTGTGGATGATGTTCCTTAGGGCTGTTGCTTGCTACTCTTGCTATAAACCAAAGAGCTTATTTATTACCCAGGGGAGCAGTTCTTTTTATTTTCGCAGCAGACACATTTGTAATGAACTCTATTTCTGACAGCTTGCTGACATAAAGAATTTGACTGTTTTGTTTTTGAAGGATAGATCAAGAGCTAATATCATTGTCTGTTTGTCAATTGGTAATTWCAAATGCGTAATATAATTAGTATAGACTTCTTGTTGAACCCATGAATTGTTACTGCAGTTCTAATGGCATTTCTGAGCAGCCAGTGGAGTTTTATTTTGAACACCTTATTTCAAAAAGAAGAACMGAAAAAAAGAATTTGTTGAGACTTAGTTTTTAAAAGGAGAAATGCTTTCAATCTCAACTCCGACGCCTCAGCCTGCCTTGAGTATTTTCCTCGTGGCTTTTTCAATTTAAATGCAAATGTTCCCAAATCGGACCCCACAAAAATGCAGAGGCAAAATCATTTATTAGAAATAAATTATATATTTTAATTAACCACTCAAAAGAATCATGCCTATTCAGACTTTCCCCTCCAATGAGGAACGGATAAATAAATATGGAATAAAGAAGTAGAAGAGGAGGATGAATAGGTGAGTTGAGGAGACATGATGGGAGGAAGAAGGCAGGAGGGGTTGTATTGAGTTAGTGTGATTGCAGCACTAACYGCCTGTTGGCTGTCATTATGGGAGCGATCTGAAGCTGTCAGATTTCAAAAAAACATATTGTTTTCTGATAGACAGACTAAAAG